AAACTCCCCACCTATAGCTTCCTTTAATTGTGGTCGTGTTTGTGGAGAGAGCCCTCGTACTCCAGGCCACCAGAGCCTCTCCGCCAAGCTTGCGTGTCCGACGACTGACGACCTCCCCCAAGCACTCTCCGCCAAGAAGTCGCAAGCCCCTTCCTAAACCCCAAAGCCCTGAAACCCTTAAAGCCTCTATAGCCCCAAAAACTTCCGTAACACCCTAGAGAACACCAACACCTTTTAAGGATCCGAAGCCCTCAAACCTCGGAAGCTGGGCAAGGTCTTCTTTGTGGACATTTGGGATTGGAGGACAGCCATCGACTCGCTTCAGCTGCTCTATGAGCCTGGGACCTTCTTTTTTTGAGTACAAAACGATGGGTTTGAGCAAGTACTGACATACTGTTGATGATAGAAATCCTGCATTACCTTAAGGACCCTAAACGATGGGAGTTATGGCCTATTATGGGTAACGCAGGATGTATATCATGAACCCGACGGTGTTTGACGTCTGCAACCTTTTGAGCTCGGAACTTTTCGTTCGAAAGCCTACGGCCTGGGGTTGAGGGCTTTTTGGGTTGAGGGCTCTTTGGTGCTTTGAACATGGTGAGTCTTCATGGTCTGGCGCTTAAAAGCTCTAAACCCTAAACCCGGGGTTTAGGGTGTAGTTCAGTGAAGCCTTGCAGCCCCAAAACCCTGAAGCCCGAGATCCCTCAACGGACAACTCTGAACCTCTAAACCCTAAATCCTAGATTCTAATTCTAAACCCTAAAGTCTAGATTCTAAACCCTAAATTGAAAGCTTAAACCCTACATCCAAACCCTAAACTCAAACCCCAAACCCTAAGTTGCAAGCCTAAACCCTCATTTCAAAGCCTAAACCCTCAAGTGAACGCCTAAACCCTAAGTTGAAGGCGTAAACCCCAAAATTGAAGGCTTAAACCTTAAATCCTAGGTTCCAAAACCCAGAAAAACTGAAAGCCACTGGAGAGACGCCCAAGCGCCAAGGAGCTCCTAAACCCTAAACCCTAAACCCTAAGCCCTAAGCCCTAAACCCTAAACCCTGCGCCAAGGAGCTCTGGAGGGAAGATCGAGTGATGCAGAAGGAGGTGGATGGGGTCTTCAAGCAGGGCCAGTCTTGGCAAGGCCCGGTTCGGTTCAGGGTTTAGGGTTTAGGGCTTAGGGCTTAGGGGCTTAGGGTTTAGGGTTTAGGGTGCAGGGTGCAGGGTTTAGGGTTTAGGGTTTAGGGTTTAGGGTGCAGGGTTTAGGGTTTAGGGTGTAGGGGTTCGCTTGGGATTTTAATAGGGCGCCTAGGTTTTTGTTGACAGCGTTATTTTATTAGCATTTCTTGCTTCCTACAGTTCCCAGGTTGTGCTGGGGTTTTCCAGCGCGTTACAGGGTGCAAACCCTCAAACCCCCAAACCCCCGAACCCGAAACTCCAAACCCCAAAAGCCTCCCCCAAAAAGCACCAACTCCGAAGCCTCAAATCTTAGGTTCGACTCCTCAGCCCTGAACTCCTGAGCCACTAAACCCCGAAACCTACTCAGCTCCCCCTCCCCCTTCCAAGCCCCAAAACCCTAAACCCCTAAACCCCTGAACCCCAAGCGCTCAACCGAGGCTCCTACTTCTGTACCCAGGGCCGGACGCAGTTCAGCCTGGACATCACGGAGGTGACGAAGCTTCGGATGCACAGTAGCATCACTTTCCACGGTTTAGGGTTTAGGGTTTAGAGTTTTTGGGCTTTAGGGCTTGCAGAAGGGTTTAGGTTCTTTTTTTTTTCGGTTTGGGGCTGTGGGTTTCGGTCTATCGGCTTTTGGTTGGCCCCTTGGCTGTGGGGCACAAGACGCGGCCCTGAACCTAAAGTAAACCCAAACCCTAAACCCCCTCAACCCTAAACCCCTACAGCCTGTATAAACCCAAAGCCCCATCCCAGGCCGACTGCCTGGGATGGCCGTAACATCCGCGCCACTGCACTTTCAAAACCCTTACACCCTCAAACCACCGAAGGCCAAGAGCCCTGAAGCATTCAAGGTCCGTCGGTGGCAAAGACCAGATTCGTGCAGATCTAACCTTTACCATCGCCACTTGGATGCTCTTTGTCTCGGGTCTCGGAGCTGCTTTTTTGTCCATTTCTTTGTTTTGGCTTCCCTTACAACATTCAGGGCCTTGCAAGACGGACCCCTGTATTCCACCGATGAAGTCTTGAACATCAAATCCCCTGAATCATGGTCTGGAAGCCTGGCTAGTCAGTACTGCTATTCCTTGGGCTCCTCTTTATAGATCTCTCATAGTAGGCTACCCTGAAAACTCTATGCTACTTTGTAAGTACTACGACAACCAGCCTTAGGCCCTGAACTCTAAACCCTTAGAGCCAGAAGCCCTCCAGGTCTTTTAAGTATAGGTCATAATCCAGTATTCTCCAGTGATTTTGGCCCTAAACCCTAAACCCTAAGCCCGAAGCCCCAAACCCCCAAACCCCTAAAAATCGAGAACTCTGGGCACAGGGCTCAGGGATCTTTCAACACCACCATGGCCTCCAGTTAAGGCATTTTGCTCCGGTCGTTCGAGTACTCTAGGGGCCTAAATTAGCAGAGCTTAGGGTTTAGGGCTCGGGTTTAGGGTTTAGGGTTTGGGGGTTGGGGGTACCTTACACTATACTTTATAATAAGGAGCCCCCAAAATTCCTATTCTGATTATCAAGGCCCCTGTATTAGAGGTGTTCCCAATCCCAGGCAATCATATCGAAACCTCTAGACATTGAACCCCAAAACCTTGAAACCCTGAACCCCGAACCCTAAGCCCTAAACCCAAAGCCATAAACCCTAAACCCTAAGCCCTCAGCCCAAAACCCCATACCTTAAACCCTAAATCATATCCCCAAAGGGCCAATAAGCCTCAAACATCAAGCGCTTAACTTTAACCCTGAACCTTGAATCCCTGAAGCCTAAACCCTGAACCTTGTATCCCCACGGTGGGATGATCTAAATCCTGCATGGCTGCATGGCCCATAATAAGGAATAGACCATGACTCCCATAGTTTAGGGTCTTTGAGGTAATGCAGGGTTTATGTCATCAACAGTATGTAAACCCTAGACGGACCCTAAACCCTAAACCCTAAACCCGGTTAACTTAACCCTGAACCCCGAAACCATGAGCTCTGCGCCGCCCAGGTCAAGAAGGACAAGAACGTCACTGGCATCTACGAGGTTCAGCCTTAGGGTTTAGGGGTTGAGGGTTTAGGGTTTAGGGCTTTGGGTTCAGGGCTTAGGGTTTACATGACTCTGGAAGCCGATTTAGGAGTTGGCACTGGCTTTGCCTGGGCCCCAAGAGACCTACCGCTTCAAGGGCATATGGAAGGCAATCAGAGCAAGGAGCCCTACAAAGGCAATGCATAGAAGGCTAAAGAATTACCAAGAGTGTTCCTGCAGACCCTAAACCCTACCCCCCTAAACCCTAAACTCTAAACCCTAAACCCTAAACCCCTTAAGACCAATATAAAGGAGCCCAGAGCCCCTACTCTAATTATCACGGCCCCGCCACTTAAAACCTTAGCACAGATGCAGAGGTCTCGGGCAGTGGGGATGCCTAAAACCCCTAAACCCGAAACCCTAAACCTTAAACCCGAAACCCGAAACCCGAAACCCTAAACCCTAGACCCTAAACCCGAAACCCGAAACCCCTCAAACCCAAACCCCAGATCCTACCATGCAGGTCTCGGGGATTTTGGAGCCGGCCGGCAGAAGCTTAGTCATGGAGCCGATCCCAGATTCCTGGAAAGCGCAGCCCAAAAACTTTGCAGCCATGGCTGGAGTTTTGGGGGGTTTAGGAGTTTAGGGTTTAGGGTTTAGAGTTTGGGGGTTTAGGAGTTTAGGGTTTAGGGTTTAGGGTTTAGAGTTTGGGGGTTTTGGGTTCCGTCCGGAGGTTGCTTAGGATTCTTTAAATTATAGTGTTCTGCAAGGTTCCATGGGGCCGGAGAGTGGCATTACGCGGGTTCTACAAAGGTTCTGTACGGGCTCTGTCGGGTTTAGGCTTTGGGGTTTGGGCCTAAACCCTAATCCTGAAACCCTCTCTATCTAATTGTAATTTAACCCTTAGTGATCTTTGTGGGCAAGGTGCGTTTCCGTGTGGGCAAGGTGCGTTTCTCGAACCTTCGTGGGCAAGGTTCGTTTCTTCGTGGGCAACAAGGTCTGAACCCCAAAATAGTAATCCAAATCCGGAAACAGTAGTCCGAATTCTACAATAATCGTCCGAAGCCTAAAATTGTAGTCGGAACCCGAAAATAGCGGTCCGAACTTTGAAAAATGGTAGTACGGACCCAACTAGTAGTCCGAACCCTAGAATGGTAGTCCGAATATTAAAATGGTAGTCCGGACCGAACATGGTAGTCCGAACCCTAAAATGGAAATTAGTCTGAACTCTAAAATAATCGTCCGAACCTTGAACTAATTGTCCTAACCCTAAAATAACAGTTCGAATCCGTTTGGTTCCGTTTAGGGTTTCGGTTAGGGCTTCGTTTGGGGTTTCGTCAAGGGTTTCGCTGAAAGTTTCGTTTCGGGTTCCGTTTAGGGTCCGCTTCGGGTTTCGGTCAGGGGTTTTCGCCCAGGGTTCCTTTTAGGATTCCGTTTAGGGTTCCATAAACCTTAAACCCCAAACCCTTAAACCCTAAACCCTAAACCCTAAATTTGGGGATTCAGCGTTAGGGTTTCGGAGTAGTGGGCTGAGGTGAGAGTCGAGGGACTGGGGTTGGGGAGTTAGGATTCAGATTAGGGTCTAGGCTTTAGGGCTTTGGGTGTAGGGCTTTGAGTGCTGATTTTATCCGGCTCATGGTATGTGCCCTTTTTCTGAACCCTAAACCCTAAACCCTAAACCCAAAACCCTAAATCATCCGTCTCATCGTATGTGCCTTTTTTCTGAACAGGAGGAGGCTCTGCAGATTCTGAAGTATGAAGGCCCTCCAGATTTCAGAAGCACCTGCGTGTCTTTCATGGACATGCAGGCGATGGCTGCTACTCTACTTCCGTGTTGTCAACATTGATAGTTTTTTTGACGCCAACTATTCCAATGAGCCTAAACCTAAAGCCCCCTAAACCTAAAACTCCCTAAACCTTAAACCCTAAGCCCCTTAGAACCCCTTAATCCTAAACCTTAAAGCCACTCATGATCTTGTCGTACCTCTGCTTTCTGTATTCTCCTTGCTGTTCTGAGTCGTGGGGGGGGGGGGGGG